GCAGCCGTCAGGTTCTGCAGCTCATTGACCTGCAGGGAAGGGACAGAGACCAACATCACCACGCAGTTTGGAAGAGACCCCCCCCCCCCCCCCCCAAACATCCCAAATGCTCCCACCCCCTTCCAAACGTGGCTTTGCTTACAGTTTTGCCCCCTTTGCCAATAACCCTCCCTGCAGCCGAGGCGGGGACACGGATGTGTGTCTCCAGCTTCACTTCTTCCTTCGGCCCAAAGAAGTTCTCCTCCTTCAGCTTCCCATAAATCCTGCCTTGCGCCTGCAGAGGAGGAGAAGCAGCATCAGGCTCTGTTCATGGTGCTCTGTCCCCACACACCTCCATCCTGGGGACAACAGATTCCCTCCCCAAATCCCAGCTCCTCAGAGCTTTAAGTCATCTCAGCCCCAGGAGGGCTGGTGCTGAGTTAAGACAGGTCTCAGTGCCACACTGGGGAGGGCTGACTGCGATGCTTCTTCCCACCCTGCTCTGAAGGGAAGGGGATGGTGGAGGAGGCACTGGGTGACTCTGACACCCCACTGTGATGGCAAGAAAGTGAGGGGACCTTGAACTGAGCTTCTGGAGGGCCTGTGATGACCACCATGCGCACTTTGGAGTCCGGCGTCTCCGGGGGTGCAATCTGGAATGGGGGAGAGAAACAGTCACTGCAGCATCCATACACATCACCCAGGTTTTTAAGGTAATTTCAGCAGCAGAAAGGCACCCAGCTCAGCAAGAGGTGCTGGCAGGACACTGCTCCTTAATGAGGTGACACTACCTTAATAGAGGCACTTGCGAACCGGGAGAGCTGCTTGATGTGCTGGCCCTTCTTGCCAATGATGGCACCGACTGCTTGGGCAGGGATGAAGACGTGTACGGTCTCCTGCTCGGGAGGCTGAGGACACAGAACCACTGCTCAGAGCTCACCACACCCCCAATCCCCCCCAGAAGTGTCACCCATACCATAAGTGCTGGCCTTCAACTGCATTTGCAACAGGTGAAGAGCACAGATCCTGCACACACATGGACGTGACCATGCTGAAAGCACCGCAAGGTTCCTCAGCTGTGCACCTACCATGAAGGAGCTGTATGGAGCAGCCCCGGAGACACTGCTGGGAGGAGGAGGTACTGCGTTGGAGGAGGCAGGGAAGAGGCCGACAGCAGCCAGGTTAAGGCCAGGGATGAGATGAGATTGCAGCTGAGGGGGAGAGGAGAGAAACGCTCATTGCTTTTACCAGGGCATCCTCTTAGAGCACACAGGAGGGGAGGTAGGGCAGGAACCCTGCCTGGCAGAGCTGCCGTCCCGAAGCTGAGCCGCACTCACGCTCATGGCTGCGACATCGTTCTCATAGGCTTCTCTCACTTTCTTCATGATCTCCTGCTCTGCTTTGCAGCAGTTCTCGATAGAGCCCTTCACTGTGATCGTTCTTTCAGGGTTGTACAGGGTCAGGTCCTGCAAGCTGATGGGAAGCCAGAGTTACACCAGTGCTGGCCAAAGCAGGGAGCAGCATCGTGGTTTACTGCCCGTGTTTGTGCTGCCTTCCTTAAAAACATGCTTAAAGAACAGAACCCCAGTTCTGCCTGCTAAAAAAAAAAAAAAAAATCAGCACTGCAGCACAGCTCCAAAAGGGAAGAAGAGGGGAACTCAGGAAACAACACACAGGTGTATCAAGACAGGTTTGGGGATCAAAGCACTCTTGCCACAGGCTGGCTTCCCAGCAGGTTGACAGCGATCTCTTTGCTTTCCTCACATCTCCCATATCTGCCTCCCCACTTCCATCTGCCTCAGGTTGGGAAAGTCCACCCTGCTTTTCCCAAAGACATCAAGGAGCCTTACGATGAAATGGTGATCTTTGTCTCCGTATCCTGCTCCACTTTCTTCAAGTTTCTCCCTTCTTTGCCAATCAGGCGCCCCACAAAGTTGTTATGGGCCAAGATTTTCAGAGGCACTTCATCAGCTCTTGAGAGAGGAACGGGAAAACAACAAAATTAAAGATTACAGCAGGCAGAAGAAGAGGGATTGGGAGCAGAGTGACGGGGAAGACCATGTCCCCTTGCTCAGAGTCCCCCAGTTCTCCCAAGGCAAGGCTTCCACATGGAGCTCTGAGTGCCGGGATGGTAACACAGCCCAGCAAGGAGCTGTGGATACAGCCTACAAGGGGAAAAAACTTACGTCTTTGTGTCCTTTGCCTCCTTCTGCATGATCTCCAAGATCATTTTGCAGGCAGCAGAGCAGCCCTCAGGGGTGGAGTGGATGCTGATGGCTTTTTCTGCAGCTCCTGCGTTCTCCTTACGGTGAACATCAATCCTGCAAGCACAGCATTGATGTCAGAGTGGGCACAGAGCAGAGGCTCTGCAGCTTTGCAGCATGTGCTGGCTGCTCTGCTCCTCCAGCATCCCTGCAGGCTGCCCACAGCTGAAGCTTGGATGTACACAGGAAAGGAAAGAGCAGTTAATTCTGGGCTCAGCATTCCATGTAGATACTGTAGTTAGAAGCCCCATTCACAGAAATCCAAATAAGACATCTGACTCTATTTTAAACAACATGAGTGATCACATAGTAGAGAACAGGTCAGTTGCTGGCAGATGAGATGCACTGCTCATCACTTCACATCTTAGATAAAGCCCTCCTTGGGAGAGAAGAGCAAAAACATGTGGGACAAACCCAAACTCAGCCTCATAAGTCACTGCAGACCACTCCGCTAATTAGAAGCGACGTGGGGGGGGAAGGGTAGAGAGACTCACTTGGACTGTGTCTGCTTGGTAATGTTCCTGATGGTGGCCCCTTCTTTGCCAATGATGGCACCCACATACTGTGTGGGCACCAGCAGACGGAGCGGGATGTCCACGGGCTGCTGCTTCACTGGAGCCCCTGCTGTGACAGGGGAACCCTGCCGGGGGGCACCTCGGGCCCCAAAGCCACCCCGGCGCCCATTCTCTGGGCCCTGCACTGACTGCTCATCAGGGATGTAGGAGACCTTCAGCACGTGGTTCTCCAGCTGGTGCCCGTTCAGCTTCATGATGGCTCTAAAGCAAGGAGAGAAGGGGTTGGGGTGAGGGGATTCCTACCCCTTAGAGCTCCCAGCAAAAGGCAGCATATCAGCACCAGCCCACCCAAAATGGGACAAATCCACCCAGACTGGGTCAAGCCTTGACGTAGCACCCTTTGGGAAAGAACTGGGAATGGGGCACAGAGATGTCATCAATGCCACAGGAACCTGGCAGGATTTCCCACCTGGTCCAGATGGAACAAAGTGCTTTAAGTGGGGGGGGGGGGGGGATTTCCAAGCAACCAACCCTGGGGAGGGGGTGGGAGCAGTGGGTGAGAACAAGGAATGATCCCCAGGCTCTCCTCTGCCTTGCAATATATTGGTTGGTATTTCAGCTGCTGGTGGGGATTTTGGGGACTGGCTGCAAGAGCTAAAAGCTGTCGATAGATGGGGCTGGCAGCAAGAGAAAAGCAACAGCTCTGGCCACAGCTCTGCACAGCTCTCCTAACTTCAGCGGAGAGAAGTCAAACTGAAGGTCTCCAGAAAGGGCTCAGTTACTCCCTTTTGGGCTGCAAAACCCCACAGCTGAACAGAGACAAATAACACCATCTCTGCAGGATGCAAAGGATCCAAAGACCCTCCATAAAGCAGAAAAAGATGACAGAAAGGTCTCACACCAATATTATTACTTTTTCCTTGAGCTGCAATTACTTAAATGACTTCAGTACAAGAAAATCTTCACTTTTCCTTATAAAAAAAAAAGAGTTGGTTTTCTTTACTCTTTGAACTGCACAAAAAAGCCTAACTTGGATGTGCTCTAAAGGGCTCCAATTCTACCCCAACCCCACCCCACCATGAAGGGTGAACAAAAAGAAATCAGGGCAGAAAAGAGGATATTTCTCAAAGGTTTGCAACCCCCAGTTGATGAATTCTGGGACAGCCTGATTCCCAGCAATGGAAATCCCATTTTCTGTCCCCAGGGAAGGGGCAGTGGGCCATGGGAGGTCCATGGGGTGGCCGTGGGGCAACTTACTGCCTGGTCTGCTCCCGGTTTGTGTAGGTGACATTAACCACAGCGGTCTCACTGTCTGTGTTCACTGCAATAAAAGAGGCAGAAATTAGAGCCAGCATGAGCAGCCTGGACCATTATGCAACATCTTTGGCCACTAGAGAGTGCTTATGTCTGTACAGCCCATCCTGCTTTATTTTATATACAGGGATGTCCTTATTTTGGCCAAGCAATAAGAGGACACAATGACCAGACTCTGACATCTCTAGCCATAGAGATAACCTCTAACAAAGAACAACAACCTGTCTGTCCTCCTCCCTCCTCCAGCCCCAAATAGCTAGGGCAGAAAATATTTAAACAACAGCACATTGGCTCTTTCTTTCAGCCTTACCTTGCTCACAGTTTTCTACAGTGCCATATTGTGCTAGCAAGCCATCCAGAACCTGGGAAACAGAGAAAAAGTCCATTATATTGTGACAATCAGGACAGACCCAAGAAATACAGTCAGTCGATAAAGGCAGCCTTCTGGGCACTAAGATTTCACAAGCAATTAGATGAGCAAAGCTGCTGTGTGCCCCAGGATGTTGGGTCAACAGGCCCCAGAACCAGAGCTGGGAAGGCAGCAAGAAAAGGAAGAAGTCCCAACAGCTGGAAGGAAGGATCCATGTTGTTCCTACAATGGATAAATCACACAATGCTGTTATTAATGGGGATTTTGTTGGTGCAAATGATCTTGCATTGCTTCTACCAGCTGAATTGAATCCTGCACAGAACAGGAATAAGCTGCATGGATGCAAGGGTGCAGCACCATTAGGCTCAGTTAAAAACAAAGAAAAGGATGAGCCAACTGTAATCCCAAGTGCAGAAACCCACAGGGGAGTCAGTCCTTAAAGGTGCCCCACACTTCTCAGTGCAAGTCCTTGTGTCTCAGGCTCATGCCCTGCTCCCTCACCCCCTTACCTCCCATCGCAGCTGGGGTGGGATATTTCGGATTTGAATCTTCCGGCTCCTGAAAGAAACAAAAAGCGATTAAAAGCCAGATTTGGTGTCAGCAATGCATCCATCTCACACTGAACTGCTCCTCGTTGATGGACCTAATCAAGCTTTCCATTCCCACATGCTCCCGAGGTTTCTGATGGCTCTCTGTTAATTACACCCCACCAAGTTCTGCATTTATACTGCAAGCTTCACTGTGAGCAAGATGCCCAAATCCACCAACCTTCCTGCACCAGCACAGCTACAAATGCTGAGTTCTGCCAGATTGATTACAAGGATTAGAAAGAAAAAAAAGGAGAAAAAAAAAAAAGAACCATGCAGTCATTTAACCTGAAAGCAAATCTGGACATGAAAAGGAGACCATGGGGATGCCCACGGCACCTGGAAACTTGGCTCCAGCATCCCAGTTTGTCTGAGATCACTCCTCCACTCACATTTTTGGCTTTTTCAAACCTAATTTTTCCCAAAATAGAATTTTTGGGGAAAATTTTTGATGCCCAATTGACCCAGGAGGTGCTGCCATGGATTGCTGTGGGTCCCTGGGGCAGCTCCAGCACCCACACACAGCCACACTGCTGCCACCCCAGGGCTTCCACCAACACCAAATGCTGAGAAATGATTTTTTTCCTCACCGTTGTGGTGTTTCCACCACATGGTGCTGCCATCTCCTGCAGTGCCAGCACCCCAAGTGCTGTGTACAAGCAAAGGGATGAGGAGCACACCCAGCTGAGCCTCACATCCCAGCTCACAGCACCCAGCAAAGCACTCACCCTGCAGTAAAAGCACCCACGGGTGCCCAGGGACATCCTTGGAGGATGCAGCTTTGTGTGGGCAAATGCAGCAGCACAATTCCTTCGGGTTAAACCTCTACCCTCCAGCTAAAGTCACTGCAAAACACCCTTCTTCATCACTGCCCCTAATTTCAGTCCTCTAAATCTCAGCATCTGATTTAAGGCCCAAAATGAGCATCTGAGAACAGTGATGGGGCCTGCCTGCAAGCTCACCGAATATGGAACCTTAAGATCCCTGAAAAGAAAGGGAAATGAAATACTATGACCATCACCTGCAGCTCAGCACTGGCATCACTTTTTTGGGATATCACCTCCGGACCTGCACTCATCATAGACCTGGGTTTCAAGCCAAAATACTCGTGAATATTTGAAATAATAATTAAAAAAATAAGGAGAGAAGATGAAATTCTAGACTTTTATCCTCTTCAGAAGATTCAGCTCGTTTGTCAATGAGAAGAAAACATTCAGAAGCAATCAGTGTTGCTCAGACATGGAGGTAAAGGGGCTGATGAGGAATCCTTATCCCATAGGGTTCTGCCTGGAGAGCATCCCCTGACCTGGGCAGCAGATTCAAACACACACACAGCAAAATGCCTGGAAGGGCTGAGCTGTTCAGCAGGTTTCCAGCAGAACCAGAAGTGATGCTTCCCCAAAGTCGCTCAGATTCAGACTGGAAGGACAGAATGGCCAAAAAGCTTTGGGGTTGCGCTGCCATTAGAAAGACAAAAAGGAAGCAGAAAAAGATTTTCAGCACTCCCATCAGCTCAGCTATTGGGAAGTCTCCAAAACACCAAATTTTGCTGCTGCTATGGAGGAAAATCTGGGTGGATGGGGAAAAAGTCCTGAACCCTTAGAACTGCATCGCATCGGGGGGATGAAGGGAGAAAGGGGGGAGGGGAGCAGGCTATGAAACCAGATCCCTTGTTTACATGCTAATCCACATCCCAAAATGAATGGGAGAGAGAGATTAAGAAATTCAGAATGCAAAGAATGCCACAGTCCAGGGAAGGTCACAAGGATCTGAACTGATGGAGGAAACCACGTCTCCAACCACCCACCCCTGCCCCAGAAACTTCTCCAGATAGGTCCAAGCATCCGCACAGGCAGAGCATGTGTTCTTCACATACGTGACCAGAATGAAATGCACCACGGAGAGAAAAGAGCCATTTATGTCCCCGCACCGTCATTCTGCTGGTGGCATCTCATTTTCTCCCCCTTAAAAAGGAAAAAGAAAAAGCCCTTCCGAGGAGCCAGCACCCTGAGCACTCACTGCCCATCTCCATCAGCGCCCATCCTGCAGAAGGGCTGCATGCCACAGGGCAGCATCCTATGGGGCAGCATCCCAACTGGAGCCAGCATCACTCAGCCCTGAGGTCCGGCTCAGCTCCCCACAGTGCATGGAAATCTTCCTCCCGAAGCACAGCCCCTGCTTGGCTTTGGCTCCTTTGGAGCCCTGTGGTTAGAATTACAGAGGAAGTCATGAATAAATAAACCCATCTATTTGCTTTGCTTGTAAGCAGGTCCGACTGGATTTAAACCCTTGTCGTGAAGTGCCGCTCTTTGGAGAAGCCCAGTTCTGCTCCCTCCGACCTCTGCTCCACACAAGGCTTTACTCCAAATAAATAACTCTGCTCATCGCCAATTCCTGGCTTTTTATTCATCGTGTTGCAGAGCTGGAGCTCCTCTCATCGCTCACAAACTCAGCACACGACCTGAGCTGGGAGTGAATGGATGGGGGTCTGCACACAGGGGAAAAAGGGGGGGGAGCAGCTGAAATAGTTGTAAGCAGAGAACTGCAGGTCCCAGGAATGCATCCTGGTGTCACCTCCCTCCTGCTTCGTGCCAGCACTGCTCTTTGTGCCCACGGGATGTTAGCAGCCATCTGTGGCAGTACTACAGCACTCACAGACCTGCAGAAGTGCCCAGCAGCCCCACGCAGACATCCCAGCTCTTCTGAGGCGCTGACACCTTGGAAATCAGAACTGAGCAGCTTGATGCTCTCAGCAAACCCTCCCCAGTTCTGGATAGGGTGTGCTGGGAAGATAAACGCTCAAACTGATGCAAAGGGATGGAGCAAAGTGCTATAGAGCAACCTGGAGCGTCCAGGAGATGGAGGAGGTAATCTCATCTATCCACTGTCAATCCAATGGAGATTTCTTGCCCTCGCCTCCTGTGCCCATCAATGCAGCATGGGGGGTAGAGCACATGGCTCAGGAGAAAAGCATACCAGCAACCCCCTCTCATCCAGAATGCACAAACCAAAGCATAGTTGCTTTTTTGAAGAACCAGCCCTGCCCACTGACAAAATGCCCTCTGCTGCTCCCCAGCAGCCCCAAACCCAAGGGGAGATCACTCTCATTCTATCCCAGTGCATCCAAAGCCCTCCCAGCATCGCTGTCGGTGCTGAGGCAGCAGCCACACGTTCAGAGCTGCCCATCCCACACGGGCATACAGTGCTGTGTGTCACACAGACAGGCAGAACCCTCAGCAACAATCCCAAATTAGGTCTGGTTCTGTTTGTTTGTTTTCAATCTTTAAATCTCACTGGGAAATACCCCAACAATAGATTCAGCTGTCGGGATCTCCTTTCACATCGAGGAGGGTGGCCAGAGCCCTTCATTAAGAACTCGCTGGCACTTCCCCCAGGACTGGCACAGCAGCAATGACAGGGACCCAAGCAGGGGGCACTGACCTGCTCCAAGCCGGGCTGGGAGCCAGCAGGAGAATGGGGCCAGCTGCCACAAGCAATGGCAGAGCACCACCAGGGCAGCCCCTTCTAGCTCAGGGTTTCTCTTCCCTTTTGCAAAAGCCCCAAGTGATGCTTTCAAAGTGATGCTCTGAAAGGCAGAGTTGCTCCTTTGCTGCACTGCCAGGGGAAAAGGCAGAGCAGGAGCAGCTGTGATAAAAGTCAGGTGTGTCCCCATCCCACCTCACCCTACAGATGTGCTTCCTTCCAGAAAGTGCATGGAGGTTGCACCCCACCAGTATGGCAGTGAGCGTGCAGTCATGCTGCTTTTCATAGAGCCACAGAATGGCTTGGGATGGAGGGGACCCCAAAGATCACAGATCAATTCGAGTTGGAAGGGACCACTGATCCAGATTTTATCCATACAATTTGATTCGTCTTCAGCCCCAAAGCACATGGCCTGCCTAGTGAACTCCTGCTGGAGAAAGTTCCAGCCCCACATACCAAGAGCAGCCATAGCCCACCCTGTCTTACAGCATCAGCAACGGTGGGTCAAGCTGCACAGATCCACCAGAGCTGCACATACACAACACAAGGCTTCTGCAGGATGCTCCCTTACATCCAATTCCCTTCTCCACTCCCTACCACAGTTTCCTCAAGGCAAAGGTGATTGAGAGCACCAGGGCACTGAGCACTTTCAGTAAAGCACAGCCAGGCACCAACCTTCCTCTCCTCCCAAAACCATTTCTGGAGCTCTTGGGGCCAACAAGAGAATGGCTAAAGCTGGAGAGGCACTGGGAGACCCACTAGAACTGAACAACATTCACGATGGAGATTCAATCAAATGCAAATGCTATGCAAATTTAGGGGCTGAAAAAAAAAAAAAAAAAACAACAGCACATCCCTGATTCAATTAACAGCATTTATCTAGTTAAGCTTTGATTCAGGAAAGCACTTAATCCTGTGCTTAATGTGTTGTTGGTAGTGGTTCTTAATGTTTTAAACACTTCTAAATAGGAAAATGTGGTTGCTAAGACACAAACATTGCTGGAGGACTCAGAGAAAAGTTGTAGCTGAAATCATGAGTTTTTCCCCATATAAACTGATACGCTTTGAATTTGTCAGCATCTCTGTGAGGTGGGAATATCATCCCTGTACAACCTTTATTGACAGCGAGAGAAGAGCACAGAGAGGGAAGCACCTGCTCTCCATCACACCTCTGAGCACAGCCCAGCAGGGCTGTCCAGTTGGGATCTGCCCCAGGCTTCAGCCAATTTGCCTTTGATTTTCACTGTCCCTTAAGCTGACACGGCTCTCAGCTTCCCCACATGGCATTAAACTCACTGACACACAAGGAAAAAGAAAAAAAAAACACCAAAAAAACAATCCAACAGCAAAACCATGTCCCAAATTCACCAGGTGATGCTCAAGGAAGCCCAGAGTTAATGCTTCCTTGGAAGCAGCATCACTACGGTTTGAGATATGCTGAACCAGAAGCAGAGATATTGGAATTTCTTTCTCCTGCTCCTCCCAGAG